TAAATCGCTTTGGATAAAAGCGTCTGCTAAATGACTAAAAGTAAATATAAAGAATATGATTAGTCCCGCGAATGGTAGGCATTGATGTTAAAACATTTCCTTTATCAGCCCATTCCTGAACCGTTAAGGGAAAAACTCAATTTAAACGTTTTTGTAAAAGAACAGATTTTTATCGACAACAAATGTGATAGCACTTTTAATCTGAAGTCAAAGTAATGATTTCAGTATTTATTTATCTATTTACTGTATTTACATTTGGTTATGCAATGCATGGTTTTTCAAACATTCTGCTTTCTAAAGACTGATTGGAAATTAGGTTCATTTCGAGTATTTTATTCTATTGACGGGCACAGTTTTATTGGTAAGAAAAAAAGATGTTGCATTTATATTTATGAGTCCTTGGCGTGAAAAATTAATGAAAAGCTAGTCATTCTCATGCTGCAGGATCTATGCACGTGAAAGCGTTGTTGAACTTCATTACCCAGAAAACAATGCGCATAGAGCGTCACTGTGCGTCAGCTCTGGTTGCCCAGCCACAGGGAAAGAAAGAGGAGGCGCACAGTTTGCTATTAGAATAGTTCAGCAATCTTATTTTTTTAACGTTTACTGTAGTCTAAATTGACATATCCACTACGCGCCTGGGCCAGTCTACAGGCACAGTTTACCCCCGCTCTGGCACACTTGCAACCCGAAATGAGCGGCAGCGGGCGGCCCAGGACTAGCTCGTTTGCTGAGCCTCCGGGGATCTCGGGAGCCGCTGCAGCCGCCGCCGGATCAGCCGTCGCTGGTGGAAGCTCTTCAGGAAAGACGGGGGGCGCGCAGGCCTCAGGCGGGAGTTCGTCTGGTTTCGGAAACCTAAAGCTGGGCAGTGAGTATCATTCAATGACTTCACACGACAATCCCAATAAATGTGATATTAGTTGACTAGTAAAAGCCCAAGTGCTGGACCGTGTAGCCTGCTGTTCATTAATTTGTCTGGTTATTTTGCCATTATCGCGTTAACCTACTTTAGGCGGCTAACTGGCTAAGCTAATATGAGCTTGTTTTTGTAGACGGATCAAGGGCTTTGATTGCTCTACATTAGCTCGACAATCCTTCATAAGAGCACTGGCTAAACGCATCTCTTATGCTCGATACCAATGCATCACATTTTGACCACCTTGAACCCTTCTTTAGAATATGATTAGTGGTTTGTTAGATGTTTAGCTGTCGCGTTTTTAAAGATGTGCTCGTTTGGTAACAAAGCTCAGCTAGCCTACTGACAACATCTACCAGACTGTCTTCAATTTTGCGTTTGATTTAAATAATTTCATTATGCGCGACCCTGGATGCATTTAGTTGCATCAGAAATGTCTTTAATAATAATCTTAATATTTAACGTTAGGACCAAATTGGCGTTTGCCTGTCCATATATTTTAAAGGAAAAATATCCGAATCAATGTTTATAACATATTGTTATTAATTTAACGTTAAACGACCCCAAGCCTTCCTACTCGCAATCTAACAGATCATCACAAAGCTTTGAGTTCAAACACTGCGTCCTATGAAGGAAAAATTACCCAATGTAAATTTGTTGGTTGGGCTACTCCTGTGAAAACTAGTGGTTTCCCTAGAGGCAT